TACAGCATCAACATTTGAAAATGATCTCCAATTCAATTGGACACACATTTGAAATTTGACTTTCATTTCTCTCAACAATATTGACATCTCCTCTCTCGATAATAGATAATCGGGATCAACACCCGACTCTCGACATCCTAATATTAATCATTTTAAGCACAAATTCTAGTTAAAAGACTTATTTTTTCTAAATTATTTTTAATATTATACTTATTATATTTTTATAAATTATTTTTAAAATATAAACTATAATATCGTGTCCAACACGTGTCTGTGTCATATATTTTCAATAATTGGCGCGTCTCGTGTCTGCGTCGTGTTGTATCCGTGTCACTATGTTCGTGTTTGTGCATCATAGTTGGTCCCTCACAAAGCGTTGAGGAACCATTTTGATCATTTTCTCAATATCTAAAATTAGTTAAGCAAGTCAATTCAACAAAGAGATAGGAAATCACTATTGAAGAAAAAATATCATTAAGAATAAGCTTTTGAGGTAGAAGATTTTGTAAAAAGTTCATCACTCAGGATATACTCTTCATCCAAAAAGTCAAAAAATGTACAATGATTTCAAATTAGTATTTTGGTGGCCAGGCATGAAGAAAGATGCTGCTAAGAATGTATCCAAGTGTGAAACATGTTAGATAGTGAAGCCTGAACATTAGAGACTAAGTAGACTATTGCAGTCATTACCAATCCCACAATGAAAGAGGAAAGAAATTACAATAGATTTATATGGGATTTCACAATTTGAGTCATGATTGCATTTGTCTAATAATTGACAGATTGACCAAATCCACTAACTTTTTGCCTATTAAACAAATAGATTTAGTTGAGAAATTAGCAAGATTATCTATGAAAAAGATTTTCATATTATATGACACATCAAAAATGATTTTATCTAACAGAAATGGCAGATCCACTTCTAAGTTGATGAGAGGTATTCATGAGGTTTGGGTACAAAGTTAAATCTCAGTATAGTATTCAATCCACAAACTTTTGGTTAATCAGAAACGACTATTCAAGCATTAGAAGATATGCTAAGATAACGCATTTTGGATTTTGATGGTAGCTAGGAGAATTCCATTCTAATGCTGCAGCATGCTTATAACAACAATTACAAATCCAATATTAAAATAGAACCATATTAAGCATTGTATGGCAGGGAGGGTAAAACTATATTAAGCTGGGTTGAAGTGAAAGAAAGATAATTGATGGATCTAGAGTTAATAGATGACGCTATAGAAAAAATTAAATTAAATAAAGATGAACTGAAAGTCACACATGATCATTAATATAAATATTATAAACCAACACAAAGAATGGTAGAGTTTGAAATTGGCGATTTCATATTTATGAAAGTCAGGACCTAGAAAAGGATAAATATATTTAGGCAAGGAGATAAACTGAATCCCAAATATATAGTAGCATTTGAAATCATTGAGAAGATTGAAAAAATTGCCTACACTATCATTGCTAACTAATACATTTGATATACATGATATGTTTCATAAGTCAATGTTGAGAAAATAGCTTACAAATGCACATCAGAGAATATCACATGATGAAATTGAGGAAAGAAAAATCTAACTTACATAAAAGAACTAGAAAGAATTAAGGAATTTGATGTTAAAAAGTTCAGAAACAAGCACATTCTTTATGATGTGTAGTGAAGTCACAGACTAGAAAAAGAAGCAACTAGAAAAAAAAAATGAGACAAAAAATTTGGCATCTATTTGAATGATGGTTAAGGAAAAGAATTTTAATAATGAAATTCTTATAAGGGGAGGAAGATTATAATACTAAAAAATATGAAAAAAAAATAATCAGATTAAAATTTACTCTTAACAAAAAAATTAACCCAATTTTCACGCAACATGAAAATTATCAAAATTATTTTTATTAAATTAAATATTTCATTACGATTTGATATATAGATGTATATATAAAAACTGAAATTATATTAGTTTATATAATAAGTTTATCTCTTAAATTAATTTTCCCAAAATTTCATTTAATGTTGTTCTAGCTTCCATTTATTGTACTGTGGCATATATATATATATATATATATATATATATATACCTGAACCCTAATTAAGCAGATACCATTTTTTGTTTCCTTTTCCAATTAGTTGCTAGAGGCAGAATCAAGGGCTTGCTAAGAGCAGGCGGTAGGAAGGAAAGAAGGGAAGTAAGCAGACGATGAGAATAAGAAAAGGGGAGGACGAGAGAACGAGCTAGGCTTTAGGCTAACAATTCAATTTTTTGCAATATTTCTAATGAATCTAGTTTAGATTTGGGTTGGTAGATTTTCAGAATTGAATGAGGAGAAATCCATTCAAGGTATAAATATCATTCCAAAGATAGATTTAATTAGTTATTGAATTAGGAATTTGAATCGATTCGAGAAAATTGTCATTTTTAGATAGTTTACGAATAACTGAACAATAAGGAAATCTGTTCTCGGGGAGCATCATTTAATTGCAAGGAGATACTCAATTTCTAATATAAAAGAAAAATTATCCATACGTCTACTGTGTGTAAATTCTTTTAAATTTAATTGAATTGTTGTGTGTACATTTTTATAATTTCTTCATATTGAGCATACTAACATCAAATGTTATCAAAAAAATTCAATCAATTTTGTATAATCACATGTTTAAAGGAAAGTTCATGATATTTTTATTTAACTCAAACTATAACACCATTTAAGAAAATACATATCTAAGTATTTAAATGATGAATTCTTCATATTATGCTTTACTTCTGATACATATTAATACAGAAAAGTAATCTATTATGTTTATGAAAATGGGATTAAAAAAATAAAGAAAGTGAATGAAATGTCAAGTCATATGGACTATATTGACCGACTATACTGACCTAAGTATGGAGAGAGAAAAGTTTTTATGAGTTTTTTTTTTTTAAGTTTTTATATAAAGTGGCTCGTAAGGATGCTAAGAAAGCAATATGCGATGCAAAGACATTAGCTTTTAGTGATTTATATAATAGATTAGATACTAAAGAGGGAGAAAGATATATGTATAAGTTAGCCAAACAAAGAGATAGAAGTAGTAAGGATTTAGTTCAAGTGAAGTGTATTAAGGATGAAGATCAAAAATTACTTTTCTTAGAAGATGATATTCAACAAAGGTGGATGAGATATTTTGCTAAACTTTTTAATGAAGATTGTGAAAATAAGATTGATTATACTGACCTTAGCACCCTAAATGAAAATAAAGATTTATGTTTTTATTGGCGTATTAGTAAAATTGAAGTTAGAGAGGCTTTAAAGAAAATGAAGGGTGGAAAACCTGTTGGACCTGATGATATTCCAATAAATGTGTGGAAATGCTTAGGAGATGAAGGAATTTCATGGCTTACTAAACTTTTTAATACTATTTTGAAGACTAAGAAGATGCCAAAAGAGTGGAGAATGAGTGTGTTAATTCCTATTTTTAAGAATAAAGGAATGCACAAGATTGTGCGAATTATAGAGGTATTAAGTTAATGTGTCATACTTTAAAACTATGGAGCGAGTTATGGAGCATAGGTTACGGCGTGATACTAATGTTTCTCAAAATCAATTTGGATTCATGCCGGGTAGGTCGACTATGGAAGCCATACATTTATTAAGAGGTTTGATGGAGAAATATAGAGAAAATAAGGAGGATCTACATATGATATTTATTGATTTAGAAAAAGCATATGATAAAGTTCCAAGAGAAGTGCTATGGAGAGTTCTTGAAAAGAAAGGAGTCAATAATGCTTATATTCAAATCATTAAAGATATGTATGCAGGAGCTATTACTTGTGTTCAAACACAAGGTGGATTGACCAAGTATTTCCCTATTTCGGTTGGGTTACATCAAGGATCAGCCTTAAGCCCATATCTTTTTGCTTTAGTCATGGATGTTCTCACTAGACATTTGCAAGAGGATGTACCTTGGTGTATGCTTTTTGCTGATGATATTCTTCTTGTTGATAAGACTAGAGAGGGAGTTGAAGGTAAACTTGAATTATGGAGGTCAACCTTAGAGTCTAAAGGTTTTCGCTTGAGTAGATCTAAAACGGAATATATGGAGTGTAAGTTTAGTAGTAATAGACCTAGTGAGGGGATTGTGACTTTGGACGATCAAGTCATTAATAAGAGTACACGTTTTAGATATCTTGGATCAATTGTTCAAAGTGATGGTGAAATAGATGGGGATATTATCAACAGAATTCAAGTTGGATGGTTGAAGTGGAGGAATGCATCGGGCTTGTTATGTGATAGAAATGTACCCCTCAAACTTAAGGGAAAATTCTATAAGATGGTAGTGAGGCCTGCAATGCTTTATGGTGCCGAATGTTGGCCATTAAAAGAGAAGCATAATACTAAGTTAAGTGTGACAGAGATGAGGATGCTCAGGTGGATGAGTGGCTTTACCCTTAGAGATAAGATACGAAATGAGCATATACGTGAAAAGGTTGGAGTAGCTCCAATAGAAGATAAGATTAGAGAAAGTCGCCTTAGATGGTTTGGTCACATAAAAAGGCGGCCTTCCGACGACCCAGTTAAGAGAGTAGAGGTATTAGATTTGACTTATATTAAGAAAGGTAGGGGTAGACCTAAAAAGACTTGGTTAGAAAATATTAGGAATGACCTTTCTTTATTAGATTTAAACGAGAATTTGACTTTTAATAGGACACAATGGAGAAAAAGGATTCATATAGCCGACCCCACGTAGTGAGATAAAGGCTTGATGTTGTTGTTGTTGTATGAAGAATAGTGTTGTATATGAAAATTTTAAATTGCATTAATTTTAAAATAAATGATCAAATCAGTTCTAACACAATTTATATCAGAATAGAAGACAAAAATTATTCCTAAAGAAAACCAAACTCATATATTCATTGTTTGCTTATAACCAAAAAATGATACGATGACTCAGTTGTTTATTTTATTAGAGAAAACACGTTAGTTAAAGAAGCTATTTGATTAGAATTAGATAAAAAGAAAAAAAAAACATTTTATAAATGTCAAACTCCATTCTCACCGAAGCCAAATATGGATCTGAGAGATATATGTCTCAAGCGTGATCTTGCCAAGCCACCTAAGCAGTAGAAATAAAATAATGAAACAAGGATGATTGCATATTGATATAAAATGAAAACTCAAGAAAAATGGCAATAATTGTCCAGAAGATTTGGCTTACGCAAAAAGAGTCAAGGAATAATTTCGCAACTGCTGGGTTGCATTTCGCAAGCAAATATAAACACTAAAAAACATAATAAAAGGAGGTATTAGTTGAGAAACAGTACCAATTTGAATTAAAGGGACATTTTTTCTTGAATAAACTCTGTACTTACGTGATTGGGATCCATGACGTATAGGGATGATACTTATTGTAACTAACTTTATCTAGTTTGTAAATGTACTCGTACCACAAAAAACCAACCTAACAAAATAGGATTCATTAGTCATGTACTTAATTATAAAAAGATAGAGACTTGATCTTAACAAAGTGAATCGTAGGGCCTACCATCAAACTAACTGCAATTATACATGTTTTAATTGAGAACCTGAGTTTGGCTTCAGCTTCTTCAACTTTTTCCATCCATCTTTCAACCTGATATGGAAGAGGATTGAAATACCTAAGAAACCTCACATAATCACAAATCCAACGCTCCAAGAAAGAAACAGTGGGATAGTAAATAGCTTGGAATGGGAACATAATAAATCAATCAACAAATGATGCTAAAAAAACTCACATTTGGATGGTAGTAAGCATATATCATTCCTATGATCCAGATGTAGCGATCAAGTCCGGATCTGAAATGCCACTCATGCAAAAGAGGGAGGTTCGCCTTAGAAGGCTCTGGATCTTTATACCCTGCAACCGGAAAGCACAACTGTCACTTGTGTGAGATTATCAAAAACAAAAGAGGGCTCTGTAGTATGTAGGATCTGAGAAACCAACCTAAAAAGAAGGTGAAGGGGCTCCAAAGAAGATAAAAAACCCCAGGAACTTCCCAAATCAAGAACACCACCAAAAAACAGGACATGATCTTCACAGCCATCACTGACCCAATCTCATTGTATTTGTTGAAGATACCAAGCGTCACGTATACCATGACTGTGAAGAGCGTATGCATTGGGCAGATATAATATAGCATGTAATCATTGTTGAGGACGATGCAACAAAATATCACAAAGAAATTTAGACGCCACATCATCTGCATTTCATTTATTAAAATTGTCGACAATAACATAAGTAAAACAGCGTATATGCAAGAACATAAATATTACAACATGAAGGTTAACAATCATAGGTACCTGAGCAAATCGTGCAAGACTAAAATCCTTCCTTATATAATAGTAAGAGAAGTTCCCGAATCCAGTCATCCAGACATAGGCAGCAATGAACACACGTATTGCGTTGTATATCTCCGTGGCAGCAAAATAGTGGTACATCAAAAATAAGACCTTGCAAAGGAGGAGGAAATGATATCAAAGATTGGAAATATTGTCAGACACGACGACCTTTGATTGACCAATTAAAGAATTATGACCGGTATTGATGATCATGTCAAAGATGAATTTTCATTTTTTTTCTAAGAAAAATTCATGCTCATGGTAGTGCAGTAAAAAAAC